CTAGTTGTAGCGAAGTGTCCGGAATCAAATCACACAGCCATGTTTCCGTGAAGCACAATGCAGAAGCTGAAAGAAAGTCTTTGTTTTTTACCATCAGTAGCTGAAGTTCATCCATTTTGTTGTACAGTGAACGTACGTTGGAGAGGAAAAAGCTCGGAAGCACTGTTCGGATCCCGCGTCTGCGTAGCCGTACTAGAGCCCCCGACCGTTTACCCCTTCGGCGGCGTTTCGTTGCTTGAGCAAAGCCTAGCGCGGCATTGACTAGAATGCCTACTAATTCTGCCGATGGAAGCAGAAAAGTAGGAATTAAATCCACAGGAGTTGTTTCCCTGATATTTAAAAGCTCGTCTCTTGTTAGAGAACTCCGAAAATCTTGGCAAAACACTGAATTGACGATTTAGTCGATACATAAATGGTGATCACAAGACATCTGGACCATCACCCTGCAGTGTTTCCAGTTTGACCACTTCTCTGTCCTCTGGACAGTCCGGTCCCTTCACCTGATGAAGGCCACTTGTATTGTGGCCGAAACGTCGTGATTTTTTTACCTACGTGACTTTACCGAATAGAACCAAAGAGTATGGATCCTTGCAGTCACGAAAGCTTTAAATCTAGAATAGACAATGAATCGCACAGAATGAGGAATTTGCAAAGGAGTTGCGGTCGCCGTTTTTCGAGATTGCTGGATGTCGTTAGTCTAAAAACTCGCACGGTACATTCATCTTCGTCTACATGTACTTTTAAGAGACATTAACAGTGTTTAATAGTTAAGTGTTTTACACTTATAACCACTGGTGATCGAGCTGGGGTTTCTTCTGTAGAAATATTGATGGGCCACAAGGCGTATTTGCATTATTTGACAGTGAAGTATCTCTAAAGCAAAGCTACATAACAGCGATATTCATCGTTAGCTTCGTGCTCCACCATTTTGACACCAAGTTTGAAACGATGCAACCAAACCAAGTGACAGCAATGACGCTGATCTCTGGCATCATCTTTCTTACGTTCATCTCAATGGTGAGTGTGTAATACAGTTTATACCAACTACGAGAAGACGCTTTCTACTCATCAGCTGCTCCTAATATATTTCGTTATCAAACATTGCCTCCCATCATCTCCCCAAGCCTCTGATCACCATTGACATCAAGCCGATGGCAAGTGTCGCTATTTCCCTTCGGCTGCCCAAATGGTCTTTTCTCTCACAACCACCCGTGATTTTTCTCTGTTGCTTCTCAATGGCACTCAATGGGAGGTTGCCACTTATTTTGGGCTGGTCTAAATATATAAAACATACGCGATGAGGTCTTTAATTTTCGTTTGCTGCTCCTTCAGTTTCGGCTAGCCTGTTTCTTGCCGTTAATGTTTCAGATGTTTTAACTATTTAAGAACTAAATATTTCCATCTTCACTATTGTGTATATTTGCATAACACCTCTCTTTCACTCTATATATGAATACTCTTAATGTCATCATAACCTTTAGGCCTCCGCAACCATCACAATGCAGGGTAAAACATAAATCTTGGGATAACACAGAATCTGAATTTGTATTTATCCTGGAGAAATCCGAAGAGCTATGAAGCTCTTTTTTACAGATGTCCAGTACCTATGAGGCAGGTAACACGAACTGTTGAACGGCAAATATTGTTAAATAAAAATATCTATGATGGATAAAAAAAAAACGTAAGACCAGCTTTTCAAACCCAACAAAACCATAATATCACAAACATTAGGATATCACATTGCTTCTCTATGTCACTGCTACATAGCAGGCTGTCGCACAACCTTACTAGAAGCAGCAGCAAATCCATTGACAATGGAAGCATATTAATTTGTTTACGAGTTTCAAGACAGAAAATCTGTCAAGCATAGCTGGACATCGTGTATCACGTGAGTTGGGATCTAATTTGTGGGAAAGTCCAATAATATTGTGCTTAATTCACAAAACACTAAATCTTGACTTAACTCTTTCGTGACTGCAGGAATTCATATTCTTTGGGTATTTCGGTAAAGTCACGTAGATAGGTTCAAAGAAAATAACAAAATATATATGACGTTTCGCATTCTGATGAAGGTTGCTTGTGTTACGATCGAAACGTTGTCGATTTTTTGTTATTTTCTTTGAACCTATCTACGTGACTTTACCGAAAGACCCAAAGAATAATCACAAAGCACTCTTTCAAGAACTGCCTCAATATGAGTTTGACCTCCTCACACAGCCACGCTTTCGGCAAAAACTCTTGGAGTTTTGTTTTTTTTGGTCCTTGGCCCTCAGAATTGGAACGCTCTGCCTGAAACCCGACTATACAAGACCACCGAGTAGTAAAAATTAATTATTTCCTATGATGTGGTAAATAAACTAGAGATATTTTTATGTACAGCACTCTGAAGCCCTTTGTTGAAACTGGTGCGGCTTATAAAACGTAAAATAATAATTAACATAGAGCAATACCTCGGTTAATGAAGAAAATTCGTTCCATGACGTCACTTCGTTATAAGAAACTTTGTTACCAGAGGTAGATATAGCAAAGAACGTATTGGGATGCGTTCCAAGACTTCAGAGAAGGCGGTACAATAGGATAGCATGGCCGCACAGTCGCCTTTACTTTGTCTGCTTGGTTTTAAATTATCTTTAAGGTGGACTGCACGAACCCTAACGAACGCACCACTTCAATGTCATATCTCCCACCTCTACCCTCGTTATGATCTGCATTTTCGTTTTCAAAGAGATGGATTGACGTACTTTTTGCCCAGTAAGGCCACTTGGATTCGACCAGGGGTCAACAACTTTTCAAAGAAGAAGAGCCATTCTTTATGTTTTTGTCTTTGACCAAAATAATTCGAGAGCCACATCACACGCAGAGCTACTTGTACACAAAACAACAGTTTACAAATTCTGACTTAAACAAAATATGTGATGGAATAAACTGCGTCTATTTAGCGCTTGTCCCCCTGAGTTATTTTTAACACTGTACATTTTGTTGTCACCAAGACAATCTATAGTGACCAATTCCCTGTCGTATTTAATACATTGTTAATTAATTGTCTGTGTATTAAGTCACGTTTAAGATTGTCGTCTGCCCGCAAGGGGGCAGCCAAAGAGCTGTAAGAGGGAAGCCAAAGAGCTGCATGCGAGCCCGGAGCCGCAGGTTGCCGACCCCTGTGCTCGATGGTCATTTGTATAACATAATGTGGGGGTAATCAAATGTTTTTGTCTCTGCAATAAAAAAAACCGATACAATTTTATCAATACGAGAACCTCCAGCTGTGGTGGGCTGGACAGAGAGACTATATAAACTATTTCCTGATTGGCTACTGATAATGTTATCAAACCCCACTCAGTTGAGTTCACAGGGCGCGATTGAAATGTCACTCTTTTGAATCGCTTCGCATGATTTCAGAAGATAGATATATACTACAAATTTGACTTTAAACTTTCGTGACTACAGGAATTCATATTCTTGAGTCTTTCGGTAAAGCCACGTAGATAGGTCCAAAGAAAACAACAAAAAATAACAAAAGACCACGACGTCTCGATCGCAACACAAGCGGTCGTCTCTAGGACGACCGCTTGTGTTGCGATTGAGTCCCCACGACTACCACTTGTGTTGCGATCGAGACGTCGTGGTTTTTTGTTATTTTTTGTTTGTTTTCTTTGGACCTATCTACGTCACTTTACCGAAAGCCTCAAGAATATAATAATACGTATGAATACTCTTAAGATGTCATCCTAACCTTTGGGGCTCCGCAACCATCACAATGCAGGGTGGGTAAAACATAAATCTTGGGATAACAAAATCTGATTATTTATTTATCCTGGAAGAATCCGATGAGCTATGAAGCTCTTTTTCACAGATGTCCTGTACCTATAAGGCAGGTAACACGATCTGTAGTTAAATAAAATCTCTATGAATAATAGAACAAACTCTGTAAAAAAGTAAGACTCGATTTTAAAATCCAATAAAAGCAGGTGACAAATTCTGACTTAAACAAAATTTGTGATGGAATAAACTGCGTTTATTTAGTTTTTACCCCTCTTATTCTTTGACAGTGTTGGTCATTTTGTTGTCACAAAGACGATCTATAGTGACCCATTCCCTGTCGTATATAATATCTTTGCGTTCAATACAGCGATATTAATGCTATACAGTACTTTATAAGTGTATCTGTATATCTCCGTGTCTGTGTGTCTTTATTTTCGTCTCAAAGTCTTTGTGTGTCTTCGTGTCGGTGTTTTTCTTGGTTTCCGTGCGGGTATTCGTGTGTCTGAATCTCATGATTTAAGTGTCGCCCGCGCATTTGCAATGATCACGGCGCATGTTTTGCTACAAAATGTTTGCCGATAACCACGGGTGAGAACAACTTATAAATCGAGGATAAACGAGAGGAAAAGGGGCATTGGTAATAGTCGGTGTCGAGGGTAAAGGCACCGTGGATAAGAGTTCCCCTGTACATTATTCAAATGGCAAGTTAAAACATTTTTTTCAAAGAGAATTGTATGACTTGTCAGTCTCCAGCTTTCACTCCCTCTATCTCTCTGGCCGCTCTGAAGAAGGCTCATTACCCTAAACGTCAACTATGTTGACACTGTATTTTCATGTAAAACCACAGTTGTATTGATGCACATGTTGAGGTTATTTTAAAAATGTATACAAACTTTTAAAAATAGTTTTTCCAAGGAAGTCATGCAAAACCTGCACTGTATGCAGCTCACATTGTTAACGAAACTGGACTGTACTTTCTTCAAATATAGTAATTTACTGGTGGTTCAGATGTCTTGTGACCCCCCAATTAATTGACCCCTAAAATGTGTTTCCTTTGCATATTTATTTCTGCTTCAATTACATCTCACTGACAAAATATAACGATTTAGTAGAGAATTAAATGGTGATCACAAGATATCTGGACCACCACCCTACACGGTGTTTCCAGTTTGACCACTCCTCTTAAGCGACAATGAAAAGCATGGAATGAGGAACTTCTTAAAGGAGCTGCGGTCGCCGTGTATCGAGATTGCTGGGTGTCGTTAGTCTAGGCACGGTACATTCATCTTAATCTACATGTACTTTTGAGAGACATTAACAGTGTTTAATGGTTAAGTGTTTTACACTCATAGCCACTGGTGAACCAGCTGGGGTTTCTTCTATAGAAATGTTCAAGGGCCACAAGGCGTATTTGCATGATTTGACAGTCAAGTATCTCTAAAGCCAAGCTACATAACAGCGATATTAATTATTCATCATTAGGTTCGTGCTCCAGTAGTACCATTTTGACACCAAGTTTGAACGATGCAGCCAAAACAAGTGGTGGCAATGGGGCTGATCTCTGGAATAATCTTGTTTACGTTCATCTCAATGGTAAGTGTGTAATACAGTTTATACCCACTACGAGAAGACGCTTCATACTGAGCTGCTCATAATCTATTTCGTTATCAAACATTGTCTCCCATCATCTTGCCAAGCCTCCGATGACTATTGACATAAAGCCGATGGCAAGTGTCGCTATATCCTTTCTGCTGCCAAAATGGTCTTTTCTCTCTCAACTGCCCGTGACTTTTCTTCGTTGCTTCTCAGACAATGAGAGTTGACACTTATTTTGGGCTGCTCTCAATATAAAAAAACAAATACACGATGTGAGGTCTTTTATTCTCGTTGGCTGCTCCTTCAGTTTCGGATAGCCTGTTTCTTGCCGTTAATGTTTCAGATGTTTTAACTATTTAATAACTAGATATTTATATCGTCACTTGTGTATAATTGCATTACACCTCTCTTTCAAAGTACATATGAATACTCTTAAGATGTCATCCTAACCTTTGGGGCTCTGCAACCATCACAATGCAGGGTAAAACATAAATCTTGGGATAACAGAATCTGAATATGTATTTATCCTGGAGAAATCCGATGAGCTATGAAGCTCTTTTTCACAGTTGTCCAGTACCTACAAGGCAGATAACACGATATATAGTTAAATAAAATATCTATGACTGATATAACAAACTCTGTAAAAAAGTAAGACTCGATTTTAAAATCCAAAAAAACCATGATATCACAAACATGAGGATCTCACATTGCTTTTGTATCTCACTGCTACATAGCAGGCTGTCGCACACCCTTACAAGAAGCAGCAGCAGCAAAGCCATCGACAATGGAAGCATATGAGATTGAGCTTGATTTGAACCTTTCGTGACTGCAGGAATCCATACTCTTTGGTTCTTTCGGTAAAGTCACGTAGGTATAAAATAAAATAAATCACGACGTTTCGATCGCAATACAAGCGGTCGTCCTCAGGCGGAAAAAATAGAATCCAGCAGTGGAACTGCTGAATCAGCGAGAGAGCTGTTACAACAAGAGGCTAATATGTGGTGATGGGCATGCAAGTGGGGTCTGAGCTGGAAAGGAATTCCACCCCCGGACGCAAGCACGTCAGTTGTGTTAATGGGGGAGATTAGGGAGAGAGTGATTAGGGAGGGAGATTAGCGTGAATGAGCTTCCGTCGCTGCATAAGAGTATCATGCACGCATATGCACACAACAGCAGTGTTAATGAGAGATTAGCACCATGAGAGTGCAATCCAAAAGACATGTGAGCATGATAGTGCAATCCAAAGGACATGTGAGCATGAGAGTGCAATCCAAAGGGTATGTGAGCATGAGAGTGCAATCCAAAGGACATGTGAGCATAATAGTGCAATCCAAAGGACAAGGGAGAGATCTTAGAGAGAGGCATAGAGAGTGAGAGACACAGAGAATTGGAAATAGCAGCTGACATAGGCAGGAAGGATGGGAACATCACAGTCAGTTAAGACTTTACCTGGTTAATAATGCTCTTGAGTCTGTTTACGTGACAACCCTTACTAGTTGGTTGTGTTGGGCAGTGGCAGGTGAACGACACATATATTTACGTGATCTAACCCAATAAACCGGTTGTATATATAGGTGTTATGAAAATTGATGAAAATTTAATGAAATTAGAAATTTGCATAATTTATCCGAAATTATGTTAATTAGTGTAATTATGCGCATAGATTATGCTGATTCGAGAGATAATCGTATTAATTTATGCGAGTGGGCGTGGTTAGGATAATGCAGGTCGTTATGGATTATCAGGTCGAGCCTCCGTTACTAGGATCGTGTTATGAATTGGAATGACGCAATTAATCGTATGCAGTGACGCAGGCGTTGTGAGCGTGAATGAGAGAGAGTCGATTCGACTCTGCTCTTTAATTCCGTATTATCGATAAGGATACGATTACTCTCGATTGAACATTACGAATTATGTGTGTTATGGATTATGTGTGGTGATAGTGTGCTTATGATAGGTCCCCAGGATGCAGATCACACAAACCTGCTTTAATCAATTTTATTTCTAGCTAACTTAAATTTTTGGATAATATGAAAACTCAATCTCGGGATTTTGGAATTTCAACAGAGTTAAGATGATACCATCACGATTGCGTTGTTTCACCTCGATAGCGGCACCTGTGGTTAATTCCCGACGCGTAACGCAATCGATCGGTTGTTGAGAGAGAGATTAAAAACATGCGAACTATTCTATCAAACCTTAACTTTATAATATGCAAACTCGTATACTTAAATTGTTACACAACACGGCACTTGGTCTTTGATTCGTATCCAATCCTTAACACATTCTGATATGCGAAATTATTATGCTTGATATCGTCAGCACAGTACCACGGCGATGTTCGTTCATTGATTCATCAACGATTATGCAATTAAAGCGTTCGACTGAAATAATTCTGATTGCCTCATCAACGTAACTCAATGGGTGGCGATGTTTTTCGTTATCAGCTAATAGTTGACACAGTTATGATGAGTCTTGTATGTTTAATGGGAGGGTTGTTGATTTCTTGCGTTGAGCAAACGCCTAGGTTGATTTCCTTGTCAAAATAAATGTTTGTTCGTTGTGTAGTGGTGGGGGAGTGAGGAGGGAGTGTGGGGGAGGGGCATACGAACGACTGCCAGTTTCTGTCCACCGCTGGCTGGATGAGTCAGCACGACGCTCGCCGTCGTCGCGCCGATGGGTGTTGAGTGCGGGGCCGCTTCCCTCTCAGCTCTGGTGACGCGAAGTTGCGCGCTGTAGCACGCTGGTGGCACGCTGTTGGCACGCGCTGGTGCTGGTGGCACGCTGGTGGCGCGCTGTTGGCACGCGCTGGTGCTGATGCTGGTGCAGATGGCACGCTGGTGGCGCGCGCTCCCTCTCCTTGAAGATGCGCGAACGCGCCCGTGCTGGTTCGCTGATAGCAGTTTCTCTCCACTGCTGGCTGAGCTGTTGCACGCTCTTGCTTGGCGTTGCTGGCCGTGCTCTTTCTCCTTGAAGATGCGCGAATGCGCCCGTGCTGATTCGCTGACAGCAGTTTCCTCCACTGCTGGATGAGCTGCGCCGGTGCGCGCTCTTTCCGCTGCTGTAGTATCTGACGCTGCGCTCGCGGGCGACAGGTCAAGTTTTTCTTCTGCTGAGTGAGCCGAGTCGCACGCGCTCTCTTTGTTGAGGTTGTTGGCGGCTCTCTGACAGCAGGTTTCCTCCACTGCTGTATGACTCAAGTCGCACGCGCTTGGTCACTGGTTTGCTGAAGTTGTTGGCGGCTGCTCGTGCTTTTCCGCTGCTGGTTAAGCCATGTTGCACGTGCTTTCTTTGTGGAGATGCTCGAGCGCTCTCAGCGCTGATTCGCTGATACTTTGTTGGCGGCTGGCCAAGCTTTTTCTTCAGTTGCGTGAGTTGAGTCGCACGTGCTCTCTCTGTTGAAGTGCGCGAACGCGCCCGTGTTGGTTCGCTGACAGCAGGTTTCCTCCACTGCTGTATGACTCACTTTTGTTGATACATCGCGACTCAGCGATCCTCGCTACTCAGCGAGGCTCGGAGCCAGCCGCTCCATGCGACTGCTCGTCCTGGGGACGTCTTGACTCGCTGATGTCTTGACTCTTGACTTAACTTCACTGAACTGAAAATGCGGCTGACCGTTATATTCAAAGACAATTCTCTATATTTAAAGCTTTCGTGACTGCAATGATTCATCTTCTTTGGTTCTTTCGGTAAAGTCATGTAGAATGATAATAAAATAATAAATTGATAAAATAAAATAACACAATAATATTCTCACGACGTTTCGGCCACAACACAAGCGGCCTTCATCAGGTGAAGGGGGGCGAGACTGTCTGGTAGGACAGCGCTGGAGTGAAAGAGCCACGTTCAGATACGGCCTTTAAGCTGTGTGAGAGGAACAAAGCGCCTTGACAAAGGAATTAGCATATAATTTAGCATTGAAATGGCTGAATGATTAGCTTGTGACTGGTCACAGAAATAGCTATGTTAAAAGTTAAAGCATACACACCCGCAGAGGCACCCATTGTTAAAGGGATTAGCATAGAATTTAGCATTGAAATAGCTAAGTTAAGGCATACACATCTTGACAATGGAATTAGCATAGAATTTAGCATTGAGAAAGCTGAGTGATTAGCTTGTACCTGCTGCAGAAATAGAGCTTGTACCTGCTGCAGAAATAGCTACGTTAAAGTCAGAGCATACACATTCACCGAGGCCCTTAGTACAAATCAAACAGGAGAATTTAGCATTGAAATAACTAGGCGAATCCAGCATTGAAACAACTGAGTGATTAGCTAGTGACTGGTCACAGAAATGACTACACATCTGAGCTATTCACAGTACTATATAGTGAACCAATAAAAACTAAAATATAAATTACATTCATGTTATCAATAAACTCTACATTCTCCAATCAGCTAAGCTACCAACAATAAGTCGTTATATATCACAATGCTATATGGCGAAAAAATGGGTGGATTCTTACCCTCAAATTTCAGCACCACGGATAGCTACGGGCCCCGTTCAGATGGACGAGTTCGTCCATGGTCGGAACAGAGGAGGGGGAGAGAGACAGCTGCGAGGCCCTAGTATGCTCCATATTGTAAAACTATACTATTAACCGTGGTGTGAGAGGTATTAAGAGGCAATGCTGGCGAAAGAGCTGCGGTCTGAAGGTCATCGTAAAAATACAATTAATTAAGAACAGAAATGATTTAAAACATCTTTCCAGTGGTTACTAAGCCTGAATCCATCTTCTCGGTTGAAATTGTCTCTGTGCTTGTATATGTGAATGGCCTCATGAACGAATCTCTCATGGTAGCCGGTTGGTTTGCAAAGAACCTCCGTCTTGGAGAAGTCAATGTCATGTGAGCCCACTGAATTATAACAGTGATCTGCCACGGCAGAGGAGTTTGTCCTACCGTGTTTCAAGTCTGCTTTGTGTTCGCGGATGCGGTCCGAGATATGTCTTTTGGTTTCTCCAATGTAGCTACTACCACAGAGGCACTTTAGTTTGT